GTGTTTTATCTCCTTCCCCTTCCACTGCCATCCTGTAGCAAAGATTCTAGAAAGAGAAGATACGCCCTAAAGACAGGTTGCTTCAGGGAAATGGAGAAGTCAAAGGTTTGAATTTTATCCACCAACTGGATAATCAATCTCTGAAGTATTGAAAGTTGACTGTACACAAAAAGTGCAGTAGATAAATATTACAGTTTGTAAGTTGAAGCATTTAAAATATTGAAAAGATTGGGTGCACTTTTTGGTGGTCTATGTGATAACCCTGGAACCAATAAGTTTTATCGTTTAAATTTTAAAGTTTTGAACCATGAAGTTTTTAAATAGAGTTTCAAAAATTTGCAAATTAAGCATCCCCAATGACTTGTTTCAGATGTTCGCATTTCTAAATACACACTCGTTAAAAGCAGAGATGACTAATCAATTGTCTTATGTGCATGCATACATGCCTCCCATGTACATGACTAAACTAAAAATAGAAGTGAAGGTTGGGAAATCAGTTTATGCACAACCTGATGACTAAATCATCATCCAAGCATAAATTTGCCTGTTGGTGCCTATCAATGCTTGAATTCATAGTAAAATGATCCACATTGACCATTGACCATTAACAAGTGATTTTTTAGACACTTTGAATAGATAGCTTCCTCATAGCATAAACACACTCTCTTTAGTTTCCTGAAAAATAATCTGAATTTTCTAATTTGAATCTTCATTGGTTTTGTCTTCTAAAAAGACATATTTTCAACTGTAGAGAAAAGTGAACAACCAAAAGTTGTTATAAACATTAAATTGAAAATAAAGAAATCTGAAATAATTAATAGATTTTTCTTTTTCAAGTAAATATATATACTTTAAAATTTAAGTAGGAAAAAGAATGACTGTATTTCTTTCAAAGAAAAAGTAAAGGAAGCAAATATACTAATAGGTAAGTTTTAAAGAGTTTCTTACTCAATGTCTATTAAACAAATATTTTATTGTGCCAGGAACTAGATTCTCATTTTAATCCTCAGAATATGTGGTGGAACAGAGCAAAAAGAACAAAATTACACATTTCTGTAAGTATCTACCTTATGTAAAGTAGTATAGTAAGTACTTTCCAAGAAAAATGATAAGGGAAGAAATAAAGAGAAATACATCAGAACTGTAGTTACAGCCCTCAAGCAGATCTAATCTAATTGGAGAATTGAATAGGTATCTGATCGTGTAAACAAAACAGATTAAGTAGATTAATAAGGAGCACTAATACAATATGTTAGGACTCTGCTTCTTATTAATCTCCTACTTAATCTATTCTGTTTGAAGTAATAATGCTGTACTAGCAGAAAGAACGTTACTCTGTGGCTTCCATTCCTGGCTCTCTTGCTAACATTTGGGCTGACCATGGGCAAATGACTTAATAAAAAGAATAGCTACCATTTATTTGATTGCCTGGGTGCTTCACATACATTGTTTTGTTCGATCCTCACATCAACCATAAGTTATCATTCTGACAATACGAGTGACTGTAAGTCCAGTTTGTTTGGGATAGTCCCACTTTTGCCCTGTTGTCCAAGTACAATTGTTATCAGTGTCAGTGTCCCATTTGACCTTTAAGAGTGCCCCAGTTTGGATGATATAATAAATTTTCTCCATTTGATGAGAAATTTGATAATTGCAATCTAACAAGTAGTAGAAAGTTTTGATACAAGGCTGTCGATGCCTAAAGCCCATATACATACCACTCTGTATGCTCATTCTGGTTAAATAGTTGCAGTACCTCCTTGCATATACATAAAACGAAGACATTAAAGTAAATTATCTACAGGATTCCTTCCACCTCTAAACTCTAGAACCCCAAATACAGATACACACATATGTATGGGCTCATGATACTGGAGTACAAACTTTTTATCAGGGTTAGCAAACAGATTTAGGAAACAATAATCAAAAGAAGGGTAGATGGAATGGGAAATTTAACACATTATAGAATTCATAATTACAGGTGCAGCTCTGAATATTTACGGAAAGAAACTAGCCTCCCCGGCAATGTGCATGAGAGATGACCCTGGACTATTAGTTAAGGAAATCGGTATCTTTGTGTGTGAATGACGTGTTAAGAACACATCATTATAATGTGGCACATCAAATAATGTGGCATCTTGGTCCTTGTATTTTGAAAACATTTGAATATTGTTTAGGGTCATTTACATTTATTTAAAATAAGACTAGTATTAAAACAAGTATAGTAGCATGTATTTAAAACAAGTCTAGTCGAGTAAAGTCTTCATTCAAATTCTTCATTTTGCTGAGTATTATACGGCCTACAAAGAGTTGTTTAGCTGTGCTGTGATTTTAAGGTGTACTTCAGATTTATATTCTCCCCAGATGTATATATTTTCCTGGGGAATGTTGATGCATTCCCGCCAGCTTTGACTTCTCATATTCCCTTCTTTACCCTCATCCTATTGGATGTCTGCCATCAATATTAAATTGTCTTAATCCTGATTTTTCTACCTATTGCTGCTTTTGCAGTTGGCGCTGATTCTTATGCCCCTTGAAAGGTACTTGTGTGGCAAAAGATTGAAAAATAATTGGCAGTTGTTGTCAGGGTTAATGTAGAAAAATAAATCTCTTATATTGCCAGTTTGGATTTACTTTTCATTTTTAATGGCCCCAACAGATGTTGGAGGAATCCTCTACTTCCTGCACACTTCCATTTTTACAGCTGGTACTGCTTGACTGGTTCTTGACTTTGGGGGAGCAGTTCCTGGGTGTTTACACAGTGATTTACAGGTACCCTCTCAGTATAGCGTATGACCATCCCCTTGTGTGTTTTTTTTTAACCCCTCATGATTTTCCTTGAAACTGACGTCACTGTCTCAACACAGCCCCTCACAAAGTTTCTCTCGTCCAGTGTTCCCTGAGCAATAGATTCTTTCCCTACTGTGCAGCATTCTGAAACATTTGGTATGTTAGATTTTAAAAAATAAGCATAAAGGATAGGAGATACAAATAATAGGTGATTTTCAGTTAGCAAATCAGGCAGTCTATCTTTTTTAATATCTCTCTTTGTATCTTTTTTATTATTTTTTCAAAGTATTCATCACAATTTTTATTTAGGTGGTTCACTTCTCTTGGGACTTTTGCTTTTTCCCAAAACCTCCCTCCCTCCTTCCCTTTCTACCTTCTTTCCTTCCTCCCTCCCTCTCTCCTTGTCTTACTTTCTCCTTTCCTTCCATCAGCCTCAGTGGCATTAGCTTCCAAAAACTGTACTGTATCCTAGGGCTACTGTAACAAAGTACCACAGAAACAGGAAGCTTGTCTCACTATTTTGGAGGCTAGAAATTGGAAATCAAGGTGTCTTCAGGGCACACTCCAACTGAAACCTGAAGGAATCATGCCTTGCCTCTCTGTTTTGACAGTCCTCAGTGTGCAGCTGGATCACTCAAGCCTCTGCCTTTACTGTCACATGGTGTTCTCCTTGTATGTCCTCACATTCTCTGTGCACGTCTTTCTCTGAGTCCAAATTTCCCTTTTGATAAGGACACCAATTATTTTGAATTAGAGTCCATTTAATGACCTCATTTTAACTTGATTACCTCTGCAAAGACCCTATATCCAAATCAGGTCACCTTCTAAGGTACTGTGGGTTAGGTCTTCAACATATCTTTTCTTGAGGGGGACATAATTCAACCCATAACACCAACTAAGAATAGAATTTTCCTCACACTTGCTTCCAAAAGAAATGTTGACAGCTTTTAGCAATTGGGAAGATCCCGTGAGGCTGAAAGTGCCATCGCCGGCTGCTGTCTTGTCTGCGACTTTTCTGTGCTGTTCACTTGCTCTCTTGGTTTGAGAGTTCCCGTAGAAAAGGCAGAGTCAGACACAAAACACTCATGCAAAGCATTTGCTTAAGCCACTGATTCGAACCACAACCTTTGCAAGAAGCTCTTTAGTGAACTGTGTAAAATTTGCTTAGTAAAACACCCTGACTTGAGAAAAGAAAAACTATCAAGCATTGTAAGAAAAAAAATTATCAAGTACTAGTAACACTGGCCATAGTTTTATTTTCCTTCCCAAATTGTATTACCTAAACATGTATCAAGGTTGCAGAGGATACCAAAAAAGCATTTCAACCCTCAACTGTAATGCCCTTTTTCAGTAATTAATAAAACCATTTAAAACATTTTTGAATTCTGCTAGGGATAGAAAAAAGAAAAAACCTAAGAAATAAAGCCATTTCAGAACTATTGCAGTGTTTGCCTAAGAAGGCTTCAAAGTTTTCTTCTAATGACAAATAATTCATCATTGTCACTCCTATTAACTGTTTCATTTTCTTCTGGAAAATGGAGGAAAAACATTTTTCTCAAGCAGATTTCTTGGCTCATTTATATAATGTTAGCATGGCTATACTTTTATTTGAATATGTAATTAAAAATTAGAAATATCCATGAATAAATATTCTTGAGGTTACAAATAAAATTAAAATGTTTTAATGTCAAAAAAGAATTATATTGCAAATCCTCTATTGTTAATAATGCTGCTATAAACCTATGTTGAATCCAAATTGTCTCTCAGAAGTACTTTATTGAAGTAATTATATCAAATATGGAAAGTATACACAATAATTTGTATCACATGCTTGATATTAAGCCAGATCCTTGCAGTTCTCAAGCAATTCTTCAGTATTTTAATTTGATTTAAATTTTTTAAAAGTTGACTCAGGAAACTGTAGAAAAACAAAGTCGTTAAGCCAATTGTTCAGACAAAAGCAGTGATTATGTGCCTAAATTATTTTGTCTCCTAATTCATTTGCTTTGATATCACACAGACCTAGTCTTATAAGACCATAAAGGTGTTACGCAGTGAATTACTAAACAAGTCCCATTGGATAAATCTGATAAAATCAATAATCTAGGAGCAGGACTTACAAGATGGGGTCTCAGAATCTATGATGAAATATTCATAGCAGCAATAAAGAAAGAAACAGGTATTGGAGAGAAACTAAAATTGACAGTCACCTGTGTGATCGTCTGGGGCCACCCTGGAAAGTCCTTGCCATCCTCCTCTTTAGGTTCCCGAGGGTGATTCAACCTTGCAGATGACTATTCTTCTACTTGGAAATAGTTTGACTATACATAAGTGAAAAAGACTCTTAAGAATTTTATTTTAAAATTTTTATTTTAAAAATCTCAGGACATTTAAACGTATGCCTGTTGATTTTTTTTTTCTTTTCGTTGATTTTTCATGGAGTTGATGGAGATAAAAAGATCAGCCTGGCAGCTTGCTGGCATGGAACTGGAGTGTTTAGGGTTTGTTTTGCCTTTTTGCAAGATTGGTCCACAAGAACTTTAAAAGGAGAAAAAGACGATGCAAATTAAATACGTTAGAAACGTATGCCCCATCTGTTTTTATTTCATTTTTAGAATAAGGTTTTCATACCTTCTTTTATTTTTATATTCTATGATACCACACTATAATGTTGGCCACCTCAGAGACTAACTAAATTAGCTATCCTGACCATATGGAAAGGAAAAGCTTTACCAGCTAAAGAAACAAATTTAACTCAGGCAAAAAGGCCTATGTGTTTTAGAGTTTAAAAAAAAATTGTTGCTAAGTACATAGTAGGGGAATGTAACCCACCTGCATAAGTAAAATTTGAAAAGAGATGTGGATATTCAAAATAGCTGTCTCTTTTCTTGGCGTCATTCAGGAATCACCCGTATTTGAAGTGTCCTTCTGTTGTGTGCTATCATCTGGATGTATTTGCAAGTAAACTCACAATCAAAGACATGAAGGCCCCTTGAAAGTCCATCTATTTCTGCCTCTGCCTCTGAGAAAAATTAATCCTAATCTGTCTGGGTATAGCTTACCCCATTAAGAAAAATAAAGTTTCGGTGCATTTAGAGAGAGAGAGAAAAAAAAAACTTTCACCTAATATCTTTACTTTGGAACACAGAATAAGACATTCCTTTATAGAAAAAGAGATTTTATTTCATTCTGCAAATGTCAATACTGTCAAGCACTTGATAGAAGCCCTAGGCTACCATTTTATTTTACCTGGAGAGAAGCTTCTCATAAATTCACCATGTAAAATTGATGACTGCTTCAGAAATCTACCAATCGTAGGTTTTTATGTGAACCACAGTGAGGGAATAGAGCTCATAGAAGTCAAACATATGTTTTCTAGTCACACAACGTGTAGAAGAGTGTCTGCCTGATCTAGGACCACTTTGGGATGACACTTGCAGTTATTTACAATGATTGAGAACACAGGATTTTATGCACAGCTCGTGAAGACAAGATCAATAGATGGGTAGAGAAGCTTAAACTAAAAGTCAACTGAAGTGTATTCTGTCACTTGACTGTAACTCTCAGCACAGAACCACTCAACATGTAGAGGGCTGAAGTTAAAATTCACTTTATTTCATCAGAATAATAGCTAAACTTATAAATGAAGGCATATGTTTTGAGAACTGTTCCTGCAGATATTGGAAAGGCTTTTTTTCTGGACACTCCTACCAGCAGGCATTTCACCAAAGTTCATACCAATACTAAAATTACCAGAATGTATTCAAGATGTATCTCCATATATTTTTTTCTGTACTAAGGAGGGTGGAATTATAGTAATAGTTCCTTTTCCCAAATCATGGGACACTCAGTGTAACCATTATCTAGCCTGTAATAAAAATTTCCAACTCTCAGACATCAAGCAAGTAGAATGGCTTTGAAGAACCCTATTGTTCTAAACTAAAGCCATTTATTTGTACTAGATGAAACAGACTAATCAAGCAAAAGTAATTTTTCTTTAGAAACTGTAAATGTCTTAGATAAACATTGATTAGGTTCTTCAATTCATACGTGTATTAGTATTAAGATAACCAGAAGAGACAGAACCATTTAAAAGGCCATCTCAGCCTCTAGCAATCCTGTTTGACAGTAGAATGCAGTATGAATCTTCTGAACCACATAAATAAATACTTTCTCTCTGTTGTTTCTTGGGACTTCTTAACTTTCATATTCAACTCTAATCATTGTCATAGTCCAGTTTATGGCCAAGCATGAAAAATGGTTTTCTTAAAATATACATGATATAATTCACATTACCAATTGAGGGCGGAAATGCAGATGAATTTCACCTGAGGTGTATTATAGCCTGAGACCACTTAGCCACCAACACAAAGCTGATAGATCATTTGTGTATTCTCAGTTGGGATGTTAATAAACTAGACAGAAAAATGGTCATGGGTTTTTCCAAGGAAAAAAACTGTTAAAATTCTAAATAGATATAGCCAAATATGCAGTTTTCTACTATGAGTTAGTAAAATGAGCCATATATCAAAAAATAGAATTTTCTTTAATTTAAAGCTTGTTTTGTAGTTAAGGAATAAAATTTTTGCAAATGCCAGTGGGGGGAAAAAGGAAAAAAGTACAACTTGTCTTGAATTAAAAGAAAAATCAATGCCTCCTGAAGACTCATGATTGAGAAGATAACATGTAAATAAATACTAGGCTCTTTAGGTAAAGCAAAACTCAAAAATATGTGTGAGAAATAGACCGAGGTTAGAATACCCTTTTTCACTCACATAATAAAGGGCCAATAGCACACACATTTACATATACGACACTATTGTGTCTACTTGTGCACATATTTATCTTTGTTCAAAATGGCCAGCTTAGCTTATAAAATTGTATAAAGGTTATCTGTTCACAGTACGAACATACATAACAGAGTACAGGCATGCACAACAACCACACCACTTTGCCATGTATTATTTTACCACAGATAGTTACAAAACATTAGTTCCCCATTCTTTTTTGTGGGAACATGGATGGAGCTGGAGACCATTATCCTTAGCAAACTAACTCAGGAACAGAAAACCAAATACTGCATGTTCTCACTTTTAAGTGGGAGCTAAGTGATAAGAACTCATGGATTCGAAGAGGAACAACAGACACTGAGGCCTACTTGAGGGTGGAGGCTTGGAGGAGGGAAAGGAGAAAAAACTAACTACTGGGTACTAGGCTTACTACCTGGATGATGAAATAATCTCTGCAACAAACCGCAGGTGACACGAGTTTACCTGTATAACAAACCTGCACATGTACCCCTGAAGCTAAAATAAAAGTTAAAAAAAATCATTAATCCCCAGAGAAAAAAAGATGAAAAAGAATTAATATAGTGATTATATTTTTGTAATAGTGGAAGCTCATTGAATCAACTAAAGGAAGGGAATTTAGGAATATTGATGAATGTTACATGAAAGTAATTTTTATCTGATACGCTGATACCACTGATAATAAGTGACAACAATTTTGAAAATTAAACTGAATGTGAAAGTCCCAACTCAGGAATCTCCTTCATATTTGTCATTAGATCTTAACTTTGATGAGTGAACTCTTTACAAGAATAAAGATTAGCTGGCAATAATACTAATAACATAAATACCAATTATTGGGCACCCATTATGAGCCAGGCCCACTTCCTATACTCTTTTCAATTATTAGTCAACAGATTCATAAAACAAATTGGCATTTTATTAGTATTGACATTTTACAGATGAAGAAACAGATACACAGAGCGAATAGAGAACTTGCCTATGAACATATAGCTTGTCCTCTATTAATTACCGGGTATGAAACAGGCCATAGGGATGAAAAAGAATAGAACACAGTATTGAATTTTTCCAAAATAGAAAAAAAAATACCAACTATTGATCCTTATTACAAAAAGTGGGGGAAAAGCACTGAGTTCTGAACAGTGTTCCAGAACCCTTGTCGGTACCCTTATCTGAAGGTGAAAGAATACACATACACACAGACTCACACACGCAGGCACATGCACACACAAGCAAATGATATTCAGAAGAGCTCTGAAACAGGTCCACTGAAATGCCTCAAAGACTGCCTAATACTTTCCCTTTTCTTTATGTATTAACTCATATCAACACTACCCTGAATACTGCTAATATTCTACTTTTTGGTATGCCTGTTTTACTGTGCACCTGACAGTTGAGTGGGTTTTCACAAAGAAAACTTTTTGTTTCCAAAATTATTCATGTTATTTGTAATTAACATACAAAATACATCATTTAACTCAATATTACATGAACTGATGAAATACAGTGTTCAAAGAAACTTGTTTGTATGAAAACCAAAGGTGAATGCTTTGAAAGACTTGATAAATAAGTTGCTAAAATAAATTTTCCCAAATTAGATATGAGCAAGGCAACTGTGAAAAGCTGCAAAAAAATCTTAAAAATCCAGAAGGATTCTGCACTTGGTTTACTTTGTATCCATCAATGAATTTGCACTCTAATGAAATCAAAACTAGAAATTATACATGGTACACTAAAGATGAGTTTATGGGAGAGAGAGAGAGCACAAATCCCCAAACTCTGGCCTTCATAAAAAGAAGAGCTTTGGCCCTACATGAGAACGTTGCCAACTAAATATGTATATGTATTTGTTTTAAATTTAATTAATAGGCTTAGAGAGTTATTGTGTATGTATAATGCTATAATGATTCTTCATTTAACTTTTTAAATTTCTCATCAGGTATTGGTCTTAATTGTTTTTTTAAGAGTACTTCTGTAATTATTATACCTAACTTACATACTTATTCCATTAATTTGTAATTTAATTGCATGTCCAATGTACAGTGGAAACAATCAGAATATGTTCACAAAGGCCAGTGACATTTTTGAAAATCTTTTTAAAGGATTAATTCAATTATGTTATAATGAAGTATAAACATCAGTATGAATACTTTCATGTCTCCAGTTCATTTTATTACATGTCAAGTGGAGAATTAATTTTATTTTAGTTTGGTAAACTAGTAGTTTAGAGGGCTTTGGTGTAAGTAGTCCTTAAAAGTATCTAGGTGGATTGTGAAATTGTCTCATATGTCTTGATAATTTCAGTTTTTAAAAGGAATATCTTGTTTCTATTTTCTGTTTCTTTTACTCCGACATTATTCTTTTTTTCTTTACAAATTGTATTTAGTATGTGTTTTTGAAACACAAAACTGGCATGCTAGTGTATCTGGTGAATTTACTGTTAAGCCCAGGTCTGTACCAGATGGGCAGGTGAAAATGTGATTATGAGGTGTGTGGCGATATATCCATCTCTGTAATACTTGCCTCTCCAGGTGATTTGTGCGTCTGTTACATTCATGAATTCACTTTATGATTATTCTTAGAGATACTGAAAGAAGCAACCTTATACCACACAAGGTCTATGTAAGAGA